CACTGGCACGTCAGGAGGGGGAGGTGGTCTTGCTCGGGCCCGTGGGATTTGCGTTGAGGAGCATCTCCCAGCTGTCTACAGCACGTGGCTGTTTTCAGTGCGCTCAGCAGCACTGTGCCCTTCCTGGGAAGGTTGGGAGGTTAGCGATGGCTCTCCCGGAGCCAAGTCCAAAAGCCGGGTGTCCCCCTCTCTCCCATTCCCTGTTCTCACGTAACTGAAAGATGACGGAGCTGTTTGGTGGTGTTGGGGGTGGGAGGAAGGATTTAAAATGTGATGTGTTTTTATCCCGTTCTCCGAACCCTGCTGACACCCCCCGGCAGCAGCGCACGTCTGAAGGGTCTGCTCTGGGCTCTGAGGGTGTCTTTGTTCACAGATCTCTCATGTTGCTCTCTCCGGGCTGAGGAATTGGACCGCCCCAGCAGCCCCCATGACCGTGATACCTGCCAGGCAGTTTAAAGCCTTTCTTCCTCCAAAGAATAAACTGGATCTTGGGGATCCGTGGTGGATAATTCCTAGCGAATTGAATATCTTCACTGGCTATCTTTCCAACAACAGATTTTACCCTCCTCCTCCCAAGGGCAAAGAGGTGAGATATGAAACTCAGTTTCTATGTACCCGAGAGGTAGTTTGTGTCAATGTTCCGCCTACGGCCCAGACGGATCGCAGGAATCTCTCGAGGGACAAGGCTACTGCATTATGTCTCTCTGGGCTTCCTCAGGGAGCAAAGGCTGCAGCGTACAGCCAGGAGCACCGGGTCCTAAACCGGAGGTGAAACTGAGAGCAGGCCAAAGCTCTGGGTGTCTGACTGGAGTAACTTCAGCTAAGAGCTCGAGTCTCTTTCCCGGGCAGGGGGAGGGTTATTCAGAAAGCACTTGTACGAAGCCGTCGCCCCTCGTGGAGCAGAGCGTGTGGAAAAGGCGAGCGTTCCTTTGACAAGCGAAACGATGTGTGTAGGGTTTGCAAAGCCAGGCGTGCGTCTCGCTCTCCCCGGGGCGCCCGGGCAGGGGTGTTTATTGATTGCATACCCACCCTTTCAACGTCTTAAGTAGTATTGGTGGAGACAGCCTCGTAGGTCAGTTTACCATGCTCAGACGTTCAGCCGACCGGGATGATGGAAACTTGCAAACAATGGGAATAGCATAAAAGTGTACAAGATGGATGTATTTTTAAAGGCAGCCTCTTCCCTTATCTCCTTGTTTTCTGACTGGGTAGGTCTCTGAGGTAATTTTTAAGTCACAGCAGTTCTCTTGCCTCCTGGAGCAACCTGGTCTAGACCCTGGAGCTGCGGCTGACCCGCGGTAGAGGAGCTGTTCTCATTTTTGCTCTCTTACAATTCTTTCTCTAGATCATAATCCACAGGCTTTTGAGCATGTTCCACCCGCGCCCCTTCGTAAGAACCCGCTTTGCTCCCCAGGGAGCTGTGGCCTGCATCCAAGCCATCAGCTCCTTCTACTACACCATCACCTTCAGGTAAGGCCGTGGGCCCGGGGTGTTAGGGGAGGGCTTGGGGCCACATCCCAGTCTGTTCCGTATCTCAGGGGCGTGGAGAAGGCTGCTGTGAGCCCGTGGCAAGATCAGATGGGTCCTGGCTGGGAGGGAGGTGAAGCAGTTTGAGGAAGAGGGTGGTTCACAGCCAGCTCTTGCCCGTGTGTGGTGCTTTGCTGACACCCAGAGAGGACACCCATGCTCCCAGTGTCCCTGGGTCCCTGGTGAAGCAGAGGACGTTGCCTGGGTGCAGGACAGTAGCCGTTCTCCATCACCTTCAGTTTGGGGCTACCTCTTGTTGAAAGAGGAGTCTGATGAGCAAGAAATGGGTTAGATTTTGATTAATCGGAGGGTGGAGTGCCTTTCCAAGGGGGAGAGCCTGGGGAGTTGTTCTCTTGTTTTACTGGAGTGTTACACACAGCTTTTACTTGCCTGATCAAGCTGCAAGGGAGGCTGAAGGGGTCTGTTCCCGTGTTTTAGGGAATGATAGTGTAAGTCATCCTTCCTGGATGGACACTTAGTGCCCAGTTTCAAGAGGCATTGATACTGGAGATGATCCTGGCCCAGGGGATCTCCTCCAGCCTTTTACTCCCTTCACTGTGTGACATGAAAAGCTTTCTGAACTGAACCTCTCTGCCCCAGTTTAGCTTCATAATTTCTGGTGCCTGGAGACGACTTCTCCCTGCTGTCATCTGCGCTGCGTGATCCGTTCCCTCCTCCCGGCACTACAGCTGATGGCTGCTTTCTCCTTTCAGGATCCACGCTGAGTTCCAGCTGAACGAGCCACCAGATTTCCCCTTCTGGTTTTCTCCAGGCCAGTTCACAGGTCACATCGTCCTCTCCAAGGATTCTTCCCATGTCCGAGAGTTCAGGCTCTTCGTCCCTAACAACAGGTACAGCGGGTCTCTCTCCTCCTGGGTGCTGAACAGGGGGTTGTTAGAAATGAACCTAAGCCGGTTCCAAGGCAGTTTTTCAGGAATAGCTGTTTATCAACAGGTCGGGGGGACATTTGGCTTGGAAGGGGCAGGGAAGGACAATGGCAGAGAAGGGACAGGGGAGAAGCAGGGCAGAGGTTGCTGGGGATGTGGCGCATGGTGTTGGGGATGGATGGCCTCGCACAGCCCGGCTGCAACTGGCACGTGCCTCAGCTGAGCGGCCAAGCCTGAGCTGTCCTGTGCCAACCACTTGAGAGGGAGGTACCTGCAGGCCCATGGGAAGACACACAGGGCTGGGGAATTTGGGTTGTCCTGATACTGCCCCGGAGACAGGCAGCAGCCTCTTCGTCCGCAGCGCTGCTGCAAGCACTGCTCCCCCTGACCTGTCCCCACAGTCCCTGGCTGTGGCAGGGACTCTTGCAGGTGCCAGCCACCTGTTGCAAGCTGCAGAAGGCTCCTCGGGTGTCTGGGATGGATGAGCTCATGCTTTTCAACCAAATCCCTGGAAAATCTCAGTGGATTGAGCTCTGCAGTTGCCTGTAAAACCAGCAAATGCATCTCTGCTTGTAACTGAGCAGACCCTGATCCACTTCAGGGTCTGATTCACTCACCAGTGACTGGTACTTGGAGGATGCGGAGAGATGAGCAGGGTGTGAGGAGGCAGCCCCTGGCAATCCCAGTGCCTGGCTCTGAGCACTGAATTCAGCCAAGCCTCGTGCTCTTGCATCAACGTATTTTTTGCTTGGTGTTTCACAGGTTCAGGTTTTGTGTGCGTAGTTTCACGCTAGCTCATTTCTGTTCTCTGGCAAGCAGCTGGAAGCGTTTCAGGGGAAAGAAGCTTCAAATCTCTTTGCCCATGACGGCTGGAGTGAAAATTCTATTATAACATTACCCTGGCGACTCAATCCCTATGGCTCTGTCAGCACATTTGTTACGGCAAGCAGGCACTTAGGGCTCTGCCAGCAACTGCTTACAAAAGCCTTTCGC